CCACAATGAGTGAGGTACTACTATTTCCATTCAATTACTAAATTACTGTATCATTTCTGTGCCAAAAACCAGATCAAGTCATGCAACCATTCCAAAGCATTTACTCCAATTGAACTTTTCATCAATCCGGTTTAAAATGCATGCTTGATTCTTGATAAAGAATAAAGCAATTCTTTCCTAAACCATCCAACTTGCTCTAGAAAATGTGAAGCTTGGTATTTAAAATGCCTGTTTTTTATTGGAGCTGGAATTGGAACTGTATAATCATTTTTGGTAGTGACTACTAAGCACATATTGTGAGCTTTCTAAATTGGCTATTCATTGCTTTTGTAGTTATAGGGTATTTGTGTATCAAATACCATAGTATCCGAAGCATTCTTTGTAATCTTAAACCATATATTGTAGTACTTAGTTAAGAAAACAATACATCTGGTGAAAATGCAATGGACTTCATAAATGAAAGATATTATATAAATGGACAACTTAAATTCTGTCATCTTTTCTACTTTGACTATGGGGATGAGGCGACTGTTCATCGGTGTCGAAATACCTAAGCTGACTTTGCAAGAAGACTACTTGGTAAATCCAGTAGTCTGCCTTCTAGAAATTGTAATCCTGCTCAAGTGAAAATCATCATAGTAGAAGTTTTTGTGTATAGAAACAATACATTAAGATGCAAGGAATTATATCAGAATGAGAAATATGAATACTAAACATTTGCATTGTCAAGTATAGTTGAGTATGGAATTGTACTCTTGTTCTATGTACCTACTTTCTCCTACATTTGTATACGTCTGCAAAATAAATCATAAGTTTGCATAAAAGTCATAGTTTATTGAATAGTTGAAGAAGATATGAAACAAATGATACAAAGTCAAAGTGAATAGTATATTTATTTTACCTCTGATATTAGAGTACTTCTTTGTAGACAATATTTTTTTGTAGTAGCAGCATATGTCTCTGTGGGACAATCTGACTTCACCAAATTCTTTGTGTTTGCCATTGACTCCTCTTGATAGAGCTACGTAAAATTGATCATGTGAAAAAATGGATTGTGGCAAATAAATGCCGACATGGAGAATGGTCTAGTCTTATGATTTGTTGATGTTTCATTGCAAAGCATAGCCATATAGGATTTTGTTTCCTCTTGAACTTAAATGGATAGCCTCCATTCTCTGCTGGAGAAAGGGGTATGTAGGGCAAAAGAATATGAACCCCTTTATATTGACCTACTGTAATCTCTGCGTGGATGACATTATCTTGAAAATGTCTACATACCACTCTTGTCCCGTTGCATAAACCATTTGATGGATCTAGATTTCTTAAGAGCATAATTGGTGCATTTTCCTTCAATACCAACTCATGTGGTGGCAAACCATTCGGAGTCAAGGAATTAAGAAATTCCTCTTGATAGTAATTATTGGTATCATCCCAAGCTTCATCAAAACTGAGAAAAGTGCATTTTGTACCTAGAAACTGATCAATTAACTTGTCATTCAACATGTCTATTGTCTGCCAATATCACCCTTTTTGCAATGTACTCAACAGAATGTGCATTTTGTTGCAGACATAGAAAGATTTTATTGATCAAGCATTGTTCAGGTAGGTATATTATGAATAGTATTTAGATTCATAGATAGTTATCTATAAATAGGCCTCTCTTGTACGGTTACAAATTAGAATTTTATATATAAGAATTCTCTCAAAAATCTCTTGTTTCTTTCAATTGCTAATCATTTGTAGTTGTATGTAATATCACGGGGCATACAGTTAGTAAAATATCTAAGCGGTAATGGCTGATTTACGTTGTGGCCAAACAACATGCTACTATTACTTTGAGAAATCTTGAAAATTCTAAGTTGTACCCTTACTGAATTTTGAGATAACTATTATAAGTATTGCTACAAAGTATGGCATCATATTACGAGATGTCATTATCACTAAAGTGGCAGCTTGCATTTTTCCTACTCTATCCTTCATTCTTTTGCTTCTACTTACATCATAACTTCAAATAATCACCACCTCCAGTAGTTCACCACACCCACCACCACCACCACCACCACTACCATCCACCATTGACGATCGCTAACATAAGAAGAGAGAGGGATCTAGGTAACTGGAAGATAATCAAAAGGCAACCTTGGAAGATAATGGAAAGAGAACCGCCTACCCACCACAAACCAACACCATCACCACCTCTATTATCATGATGGCATCAACCATCATGTAAGTACAGCAGGGAAAGAGATCAGGAGATGTGGGCAATCATGTAAAGGGACAACGTTATGCAGATAGATAGAAAATTTTAAGTAGGAAAAAGGTCGAAGGCTATGAGAGAAGACATAAAATGGTGAAACAATGGAGACAGATCGAGGAAGGAAGGGCTATAAAAGATTTAGCACTCCTTTTTGGTATAAATCATAAGTACTCACATCTGTTTTACGATGCGTGACTAATCTTGTTCGAGTTGAATCAGACCCTTTGAAACAAGAAACTCTGTCAACATTGTCCTTTCCATTCCCATAGTTTTCAAATTCGAGATTTATGGTTAGGGATGCAAGTTCTTTTATAGAATTATTACTCTTTGATATGGGAGAAGAAAGAGACAGAAAGAAGGGGGGGGGGGGATTTGATGCCCTTTCTTAATGAAGTTGTGATAATAGACTCGTGTAGAGTAGAATTATCCCGCTATTATATAGCGCGGTCATGATTGTAACTTGCCAATGAATATGTATGAAAGAAGAAAACAAGTAGCTGCAAATCTTCACGACTGCAAGGTCCCGTACTTTTACCCACACAGTCAACTTTGTATTTTTCACTGATAAAACAGTTGTATTTTATTAATTGATTAGATTTAAGCCCCTAAGAAATAACCTTTTATTATTACTAGCCACATGTAAATTAGAAAAAATAGCAAAGGTTAATTTTGTGAGCCTACTGAAAAATATTTCTAGCTCCATCACTACTAACCAGACATCAATTCTACCAGCCAAACAGAAAAACCAGGAAACAATCGACACAAGCTTGAGTTTCACGGGATGTAGGGAGACAATACGGGAGGGGGTAAGCCTTCCCTTATTTGCTTCCTTTTCTTGACAGCAGATAACATTTAGTTAACCTTATTTCAAGTTGAGTTGATCTCCCAATCCAGAATGTCATACTAAATGAATGTTTCAGGTCACAGAGACACCTGAATATTGTATGTCAATCAGTTCAAGAAAAAAGAAGAATTGAGCATTTATTTTTCACATAGCCATGTAATTGTAACCTGTAGTCCTAAGTCCTAACTGCCTTCTTCATCATTAGGATTTTTCATACCCGGGAAGAAGATAAGTGTCTCTAGCTAGACTTGATGCACTTTTATTTGAATAAAACCTGTAGGGTCATCATAGATTGCAATTGTCTATACAACCTGCATGACATTAGAAAAGATATCCTGATCTGAAAACCATTACAAGTCCTCGGTGGTAAATTATCCATATCTGTAAAAAAGGGAGGGGGAGCAATTTTTTATGGTAAAAAGTGCACTCATTTCAGTCATTTCTGAAGAAGAAAAGTGGGGGTTTGTTGAATTTCAAGCATTCCATTTTACCAGCAAGATCAGAAGACTTGCTTCACATTTCAAGATATCCAAAAGTTTAGCACCTTTCCTTTGGAAATTTGGATGAGTGTCTGCTTGTATCTGGACTTATTGCTGCAATGCCACCATTAGTCCATCTTAATGCAGAAAATAAGATGTCTTTCAGTTGATACATTGAATGAAATCATGCCACAGTTTAGACAGACAAGACGATTTCAAGTAGAGGATATCTCAAGTAGGGGAGCCCCGGTGTCCTTCAATAATATCTCAACTATAAAGGAAAGAGGATAACTTGAATATTGACAAATTTGAGTAGCTGACAGTTCTACTAGAGATGATATGCTTGTGTCACCCATGCTCTAATATGTAACAGGTTTGAGCAAAGCTATCTAAGGCTAGCACTCTTTTTCCTATAAGAGAACCAGAGTATCAGGTTAGTCCATTAACACGAAACACTTCCACTGCCCAAATTCCTTAGCACCTTACTCGTGAACAATAGAACCAACTTTTTGTACTGTAAATTAAGAAGATAATAAAGATAACAAACTTGATGAAGTGGGAACAAACCTACAGACGTGTGACCCACTTATCTAGAAAAGAACTAAACAAAATTTGAAGATACATGGGTCGCCAAGGTAAGTAGAGGCATGCCAATAAGACAATCTAAACAGAACGTGGACTCGTATACTTTTAAATGCTTTTTTTTTTTTTTTTTTCTCCTTATGCAGGCATGCCAACTAAGTTTTAATTTGCTGACATAATTAAGCATTTTTCACATGAAAATCCCTGACTGACAGTGCCAACTTTCATGTGCATGAGATCTCCATAAAACCACCGCATGTAACTCTTCATTGTCTCAAGTAGTAAAGGGCCAAACTCTCACCCACAGGACTGAATGTCCTATACTAAATATCCCTATTAGAGAAGATGACATTTTCCATGCACTTAAAAATTACCAGACCAACATCACTCAGAACTCACTTATGACTTAATAACAGCAGCCAAGCACCTTTCCTGGAAATTTCCAATACCCCAAACCATCAAAGTAAATCAGTATAAACTGAACGAAATGACAGCAGTTACAAGATAAACTATTTCTTTATACAAGTCAATATCTTCTACCCAAAAAGCAAAAAAAAAATACAAGTCAACATCTCCACAACCTCTGAAATCATTCCAAGAAAAGTAAATGCCATGCAAAATATCCAACCAAAAGCATTCATGGCTAGACAGCACAGATGCGAGACACTGAAAGTATGTGTCTAACTTCCCCTAACCTGAATAATTTAAGAGAAAGTAGGAAGCTACATGCCGGACTACAACCAAAAAAAAAAAAGCAACTAAGAAGCTACAATATTAACAAATATACAAACATTAAAATCCCAAATAAAATACCACTGATCAAGGCAACAAGAGAAGGTGGAAGAAAGCTGTTTTTCAGAATCTGTAATCCAGCAGGCTATTAATGAACATCTTCTAAACTAAACATGAAATCAAACTAAATTCTCGATCAAAAAAAATTATTCCATAAGAAAGTCTCCTGTGTTGGTGAGCTATTTATGCTTGACCATTGACAGACCGCACAAAACCTCTACATCATCTAGATTGACTTCTACAATCAATGAAGTAAAAGTTTATGAAGCCTGATTATATCCCAAAACGTCAAAACAAGCAGCATGGGGTCCATGTAGTGAACTAAGGAGTATGCACAAAGTAGTCCAAGCTTAAAGAAGCCGAGAAGATTGATCCAAGTGTGCTCTGTAAGAAACTAGGCCTGAAATTTGACATGACAAGACTTGTAAGGATAACATATTACAACTGCTTATGCAGATCAGAAGGCTAATACAGAACTTTTTCTGCAGAGAATTTATCATGAATATAGGTCTTGTTTTCCAGGAAGCTCTTTTAGGCTTCCATCTAAATAGACAATAACACATTCACTAGTATACACGAGTCATGAGTCATTTTTCTCCCTCAAGGTAAGTAACTGCTTTTTGCCATGATCCATCAGCATTATTGCATAACTTCAGATTTTGTGATCTTATTTGTTCCTGCAACTGTGACGAAATAAGTAAATGGAGATGCATCAAGGCATATAGATAAGCTTCTAATGGAACAGATAAGAGGAGAAATTGCATGCTGGTATCTAATAACTATATAACACAAATAGAACCTGCTTTATGCCAAACAAGCAAAAGCAATACCTGAACAAACTTAAATAAATGTTCTCAGGTAAGAAAAAATAGACATATGAACCAGCACTACTTTAGGTAATAACAAATGCATTTTAACTAAAAACATATTGGCTGAAAACATACAAGCTGCACACACTCTGGCATGCACCCCGTTACTCAAAATTCAAAGTAGAAAAGTAACTCATGATAAACACAGTACTTACCAATTTTGAGAGAAACGAGCTTAGCAAAGGCAACAGAAACAAAGAGCGGTTTGCTATGAGATGACTTTTTCGAATTGCAACTAAATGTGGCACTCTTTGAGTAGACAAAAAGTCATTAAACCAGATTAAACAAAAAGGTCTTTTTGTGCATTCACACAGCCTAAAAGTCATCCATGTCTACCATAGACTTGAGTTTTTTTGTCTTCTAAAAGACTACCACATTTAGTTGCAAAACCGCTCTTTATTTGTGTCTTTGTTTCTACTTATAAGTCTATAGATTTGGATATACATGTATCCTTCTAAAGTTACACATCCTAATTAAAGATTGCAAAAGAATGCATAGCAGAGTTTTATAAAGGCATGCAAACCCTGAAGAACATACAAGAATTAGTCAAACAACAAGCAATATATCATGGTTTACCATCTCTTGTGCATGATGATATCAGCCATTTTATATTGTGCTTACTTCACTTCTTCAATTGAAAAATAATGAAGCCCAAATCCCTAACCACCAGTATTTAATCTCCTAATCCACAGATTATAGAAGTCAAGTTGTGGTCAAATATCTGAAAGTCACCTTACAAGTCTCCATAAAACCATTCATAAACCTTTGTAAAAGAACAAACATTAAATTTGGTTTAAAATCCTCCTGAACAACAGTATGACCACCCAGAAAACAATCTTATCCAGCCTTGGTAAAACAGAGAAAGGCAAAATGGAAGATAATTTCGCAGGGACAGGCATATTTTTGAGACTGTCATCACCACCAGTCTGGCTTGAGGCTTAATGTCCATGGAGTAAATTCAACTACTATTCTGGTAACTCAAGTTGATGTAAAACAAGGAAGTAAGACAAATTATGCCACATGAAATCATCTACATTCTTTACTTGGACAAAAGACATGTTCTGAAAGCTCTGGAGTTTAATTACGTGTCATTAAATGGATACCAAGCTTTCAGTCCCCTTTACCAACTGCATCAGCATATTTTACCTGTCACTTCTTGGACAACTGCATCAGCACTATTTACAAAAAGACATGTTTTGAAAGCTCTGGAGTTTAAATTACCTGTCACTACATGGATAGCAAGTTTTCAGACCCCCTTACATGTAGCATGTTGACTAACACCATGTCAGGATAATGGTTTAACAGCAGATGACATCTTCAAGCTTTACTTCATTAGAGAACTCTTTGCTTCACAGACCAAGAAATAGACTGTAGTCAGAAACAATTATCATCGGTCGAGGCGTGAGGACTACTGTTTTCACAGCTGACTGGAATTAAGAAAGAACACTTCTTTGGTGAATTTACTGTCCCTTCAGTTGATTGGATTGTGGCCCTTGACTTCCCTAGCATACAATTGGTTGTTTAAAGTATACAAAAGCTGATATATCTGTTTGTGCTCAGTCATGAGCAATTGAGCAGTCTGGAGACAAAATTCAGATCAGAAACACTCACAGTGCTGACAAAGTTGGAATAGCAAGACAATGGCTGAAGATTAGCATAAGATCTTGCGGATCCTATAGCAAGTAGACTTTCTGTATAATTTTAAAAAGAAAATGAATTTCATTTGTAGCTATTTTATATGTTAGCATAAGGTCTTGTCGCAATGCTTCCATCACGCATACTATATAGTAAGAGTGGGGCATTATACACTTTTACCTGCATATACTGTATTAACTGTTGATTGTAATGTTGAGTTCTCTTGACTGTTTAGTGGCTGCTTCTTGCATTTGGCTGTAGACCTCTTAATTATGTTTCACATCTACTTTGCATTTCGTATTTTTGTCCATTTCAACATGAAACAAAACAACCAAGAATTTAGTTAATGGACATGATAGGAAATAAACACCATATGATGTCAAAGGCAGGTAACTGAATAATAAGAAATTGATTGCACCATGCACTTGAGTTTCACAGGATGCAAGAGGGCACTAGGGGATGGAATGACTCTTCCCTTAACTCCAGTTCACTTTTAGTAAACTTCAACTCAAGTTGAACTTGATCTCCCAATCCCCCAATGTCATAGTAAATGAATGTTTGAGAGCACTAGAATCCTCATTTGTATGCTAGCAGTTCAAGAAAAAAAAGAAATGAGAGTTCATTTCTCCATAATGCCATGTAATTGTCAACTCTATTTCTAATTGCCTTATTCATCATTCAGATTTCTAATACCAGGAGATCTTAGACTACCCTAAGTATGACTGACACCGAAAGGGTATATCAATGTCCTGCATCACAGTAGAAAAGGATATCATGATCTCGATCTTAAAAGAAAGGCAAAAGCAAAAAGTTTATCACCTTTCCTTTGAATGAGTGGCTGTTTATATTTGAACTTGTTCCTGCAATACCACAATTTAGTCCACATTAATGCCGAACCTAAGATTTATTTCAGTTGATTTATTGATAGAATTATGCCAAAGTCTCGACAGATAAGATACTTTCAACTAAGAGAGGATTCAGAGGACGGGAGCTCTTGGTGTTGTCTAATGATATCTCAACTATAAAAGAGCAGTAAATGTCAATAGTGACAGGTTTGAAGAGTTGATAGCTTTAGAAGTACAGGTGACAGCATTTCATGTAACTCAAGGTTACAATGTAACAATTCCACCAAGGTTATATGAGGCTAGCCATTCCTTTTCCTTTAAGATCACCAGTATACCAGGTTCTCCCACTAAAACACAACACTTCATAACCAAGATTCCTTAACACTATAAGCATGAACCATGAAACAATTCTTTTATACTTTCAAATAAGAAGAGTAGAGAAAACAAATTAGATGAAGTGGAAACAAACCTACAGGCATGCGACTCAGAACTATCCAGAAAGAACCAAAACCAATTGGAAGATACGTGAATCACCAAGGTCAATTAGAAGCAATGCCATCAAGGACAGTCTAAACACAACTTGAACTTTGAAAAAAAAATTACTTGTCCTCTTTCATTTTTTCCTTATGCAGGGATATCAACCAAGTTTTAACTAGTTTGACATAGCTAAGTATTTTCATATGAAAATCACACACTGGCAAAATGCCGTCCTCCATCAATATGGGATCTCAGCAAATCCACCACCTGGAACCATTACTTGTCCCAAGTATGAAAGAACCAAGCTCTGATCCACAGGATTTGATATCCGTATTAGACAAGATAGCATTTTTCATGCATTTAAAAATTTCAACACCAATGTCACTTAAGTCTCAGTAATAACCTAATAACAACAGCCACACTTTTCCTGGAGAACTTCAGCATCCAAAATCCTTTCAAAGTACATGAATAGGAATTGAATAAAATAACAGCAGTTCTAAGACAAACTAATTAAATAAATAAACGAAGCTTTACAGAACCTTCAAGATCATACCAAGAAAAGCAAAAAAGCACTAAAAAAATCCAAACAATGGTCATTGCTGGCTAGCAGACACATGAGACAGCAAAAGTATGTACCACATTTCATTTGGCTTGAATAATTTAAGAGAAAGTAGGAATCCACATGCCTGACTACTAAAAATAAACTAGGAAGATACAATATTAACTAAAATATGAACATCAGAACCAAAAAACCAACCTCTAAGGCAAGAACGGAAGTAGCAAAACGTATTTTATGAAATTGTTATCTAAAGATGCCACTAATGACCATTTAGCAGATTAAACACAAATTTAAATTGAAAAGTCACTCCTGCAACAGTTTGATTCAGTACTCTATAATAGGATCTCCTAAGTTGGCGAGCTATTAATGCATGCAAGTCAAGGAGCGCAACCAACCTCTACATCATCTACCCTAACTCCTATAACCAATGAAGTGAAACTTATACCCTGATTACTATCCCAGAACGTCAAAACAAGCAGCATAGGATCTGTCTGGTGATCATACAGGTATGCATTAAAGAAGCCAAAAGATAGATTCCAAATGTGCACTGCAAGAAACTTGGCCCAAAATTTGGATATGACATGATATGTAAGGGAACTAATTAGAAATGAATGTGCAGATCAGCGGGGCTAACAGACACATAACTTTTTGAGCAGAGTTTTCATCTTTAATACAGGTCTTTTCTTCCTGAAAATTCCTGAAGTCTTCCCTCTCATGTAGACAATGACATATTGACCAGTATACATGAGGCATGAGTCATTTTTCTGCTTCTAGGTTAGTTAGTATAATTTGTTTCATTCGATCACCAGCTTTACTGTGTTACTTCAGAATTTGCAATGATACTTGCTCATACATAGCTTTGACAAAGTAACTTGATAGAGATGGTCTGGTCCCAAAAGACATACCCACAAAAGCATGCAAAGAGGCCCCCGGGGCCGGGGGGGGAGGGGGGGGAGGGGTGGGAGGGTAGCAAGATATAAAAATGCATTGCAGGTAGTGGCCACTTTCACACTGCATGCCAGTTTCGACAAGGAGGATAAAATTAGAGCAAGAATTATATTTCCTAAACAGTTCCAAAAGTCACATCGAAGAATGCATTGCAGGTAGTGGCCACTTTCAAACTGCGTGCCAGTTTCGACATGGAGGATAAAAAAAGAGCAAGAATTATATTTCCTAAACAGTTCCAAAAGTCACATCGAAGAAACAAAAGACGAAAATCATGACCTTACCTAAGTCTTGACCCTCAGTCCGAACAACATGAGAAATTATCCTGCATATGTATATGTGACAAAAACATATAATTTTATCCAGCAGCATCCCATTCATCAAGATAGTCACTTCTTTTGACTTGTAGACTTGATACACTTCCTTGACCCCATCCCTTTTGCACCCGCTTCAAAGTTTTCAAAGCTGTTGAACTTCCATCTTCTCTGTAAAAGTTCACCAACACACTTGTAAAGACACTCAAAAGAACAATAAATGAATAAATGTTACTCAGACCCGATTTCTTGACTAAAGCATCATAAGCAACAAAAATATTGTATACGATATGTGAAGGGATCCAAGATGACATGAAACAAGTAGCTAGAGATTTTCAACTCTTAACCCCTTAAATGGTCTAATATTCAAATAAAGCAATATGCATTAACAACCATATATTAAAGCCTTTGCACCTTCAGCTGCCATTTTTATAGGAACCAGTGGCAGGTAAGACAAAAGCAATAACTGTTTTTTACAACCACAGAGAAAAGAAGAAAGAAGTTGAAAACCCCCAAAGAGAAACCACACCTGTGCAAGATTGTCTGCCAATGGCTTCCAAGAGATCGATCTAGTTTCCCTAGTTTCCCCCGACTTGACGCCCTATCAACTTGGCTAAAGTAAACCTTGTTTACCACCCTACCTTGTGCAGCCATATTTAGCATTCTCTCTGATAGTTCATCAGCCTCGTGCTTCCTTCCTCTTTTAGTCAATGCATCAATCACTGGCATAAATGATGCAGGATCAAACCCATACCCTTTAGAAATCATTTTGTTGAGAACCTCATGAGCTTCTTCAAACTTTTCATCTTTGCACAACCTATCAATCAGATCAGTGTACAGGAAGCTGCCTAGGCAAAGATATCTGTTCATTGCAGCTTCAAATATTACCTTTGCTTCCAATGTTTCCCCCCCGGTTAGCATCTCATTGAATATTATAGCATAAAGTGCTTCCTTATGGCCACATATATCAAGAGCAATATCAAATACATCTAGTGCAGGCCTGAATTCACCCGCCCTACAAAATGCTTTAATTAAAAACTCGAATGAATCAGTATTTGGGGTGGTTGTACCCTTCTGTAACATTTCCTCTAAAAGAGAAATAGCTTCTTCTGTTCTTCCTGCTTCACAAAGACAGCTTATTACAGTATTGTATGTAAAAACATTGGGAGAAATGCCTCTTTCTCTCATCTCATCCATCAGTCCAGACATTTCAAATATTTGACTCTTGCTCCGCAGCCCTAGAATCAAAGAGTTGTATGTATTTAAGTTCTTGTTGCAACCCTTTTTCTCCATGTCCTTCAAAACCTGAAATGCAGATGATACCTTACCCTTTTTACACAAATTGTAGAGAAAAGTATTATATACAACTGAATCAGGGTATAAGTTTTTCTTCATCATCTCAACAAACTTCTTTTTGGCTTCATCAAGCCTTCCATCATTGCACAAGCCGCTAATGATGGTTGAATATGTAATTAAGTCAGGCATGCATTTCTTTCCGTTGTTTCCCTCATCCACCAGGCCAATGAAGGAATTCCCAATATTACCAAGAGCAGCACTTCCATGAGTCCACATTTCACTCACAATTTCAACTGCTTTGTCCACCCTTCCAGTTCTGCAAAGACCATCAATCACAATATTGCAACTCACAATGTCCAAATCACAGCCACCTTCATTCATCTTTTGCAGTAGCTTCTCTGCTTCTGAAATTTTCCCTTCTTTCCAGAGGCTGTGCAGCAAAATGTTGCATGTATAATTATTTGGAGTGTATCCATTCTTCATCATCTCATGTAAAACCCTGTTTGCCTCTACTACCTTTCCTTTGCAGCAGTATCCATGGAGTAGAGTACTATAAGTGACCGTATCTGGAGAGATCCCACCACTTGTCATCAATCCCATCAACATCCTTGCATCACCGAGCATCCCATTCTTGCACAGGCCATTCATCACAATGTTGTATGAGTATGTACTTGGTTCTACACCCTGATCCACCATATCTTTAAGAACTAACTGAGCATCAAAGACCTTCTTATTCCTTACCAAACCATACAGCCATATGTTATAGCTCTCAACATTCGGGAAAACATCATTTTGCTTCATGGACTGAACCAGGGTCTTCGCTTCATCCAACATGCCTTCATTGCAAAACCCCTCTAACATCAAGTTAAATGTAATCGTATTAAGTTTAGGTAAGCCCAACTCTTCATTCATCTGCATGTCCCTAAAAATCCTGGAAGCCTCCAACATGTTACCCGACTTGCAAAGTGCTGAAATCCTAGAGTTAAATGTAACAACATCCGGAACAAGCCCATCCTCCCTCATCTGCTCCACCAATTTCTCTGCCTCCTCAGTCTTACCTTCTTTACAAAAGCTCGCAATCAAAGTGTTATAAATAACCAAATTTGGGAACACATCCATTTCCTTCATCAAATCCAAAAGCTCCAATCCATTAGAAGCAAGTCCGACTCTACAATACCCACGGACCAAAATCCCAAAACTGAACTCATTAGGTTCACATCCTTTTTCACGCATTTTATCAAATAGTTTCTGAGCATCTTCCAATCGACCCGAATCACACAGCCCACCAATCAACAGGTTAAAAGTATACGTTTCTGGCAAAATCCCAGCAAAAATCATGTCTTTATACAACCAAGAAACGAAGTTTTGCCGACAATCTCCTTTCAGCGAAGACTGAATAAGCAAATTGTACAGCGAAACCAAAGGAGGACGATCAGGGAACTGGGCTCGGAGAGTTTGAAACTGAGACAAGGCCTTGTCAACATGGCCTGACTCGGCCAGGATCCTAACGACGGTGTATAGAGAAGAATTCTTTACGGGTGGTTGGGAAAGAAGGAAATGGTGAAGACTGTCGATCTCGGCGAACATACTGAAGCGAAGGAGAATGCGGGTGATGATGGGGAGAGATTGGAAGAAGAGGTTGGGGGTTGAGAGAGAGGTCCGTTTGAAGAGTTGCCATGCGAGTTTGGGGTTTTTTGAGTTCTTTAGCAGAGCATTCGCCAGTTTTATCTTTGGCTGCTGCTGCTGCAGCTCCTGCTGCTCCATCTCTCTCCAATGCAAAATGCCAAGTTTGTGGGTTCCTGAATTCAATTTAATCAGTTTTTTTCGCGGGAGAGAGCAACGTTCAGTATTGGCCAATGTTTTCAAACCCGGACCGTCAATCGAGCCGGTGAGATGAAAGGGTCGAGGTTCAACCGGTCGGACCGGTTCAACCGGGGTTCAATAAATAAATAAATAAATATATATATATATATATAGAGACACACACACCTATGCATAGAATAAGATATAAATGCTGAACCACAATAAATATAAGAGCAATATCCAACAATTAACACACACAATTAACATAGTTATGAAACTTACATGTCCAATTGTCTAAATATTAAAATTAACAAAAAACAATACAAGTCTAGAAAACAATCAAAAGGTACAAACGAGTCCAATTTCTGAAGCTTCTATAATCTTCTTCATAATTCTGGGACAACAAAGCTTCAAAAAAAGCCATCTTGACAAGTCATCATCATCATCCAAGACCATTATATGAATCACTGACAAGTGATAAAAGTATAAAATCATATTAGTTTCATCACACCAACTGATACAAATCTTAAAAATAAAAATAAAAGAGTACAAATAATTCTATACCAATTACCATTTGAACATTTAATGCCAATCATCATCTTCATCATTAAAAAAGTTTCGACGCTGAAATGTTTCTAAATCAACATCTTCTGCTTCATCTTCATTATCTAAAAAATCAACATATTTAATTATATACATATTCAACAATTGAATATCATATCATACTAGCTTTATTTTTGCATCAAACTAATGATTTATGTCAAACTAACCTTCAAGTTGTTCAGAATTTGAACATTGACCATGAATTGGAAGTTCTTCAAGCTCTTCCTCTAACTCCTCATAATCAAGCTCCCCTTCTTGTTCTTCTTCAACCACCCAAAATTCTGTTTTATCAATTGACTCATAATCAACGGGATCATACGATCTCTTTTGCTGATATACTTTTAAAGACATCAAATATACTTTTAAATAATAGCACAGAGATTTAAAGACATCAAATATACTTTTAAATAATAGCACAGAGATTTAAAGACATCAAATAACTTTCAAAGACATCAAATAAGTATACGATATGAGTCACTACAATGATGTATGAACTTAAAGCGGCAAATCCACACACAATATTAACTAGTCAAAAAACTCTTCCAAAATGAGTAGGCCTGCAAAAATAATGTCAAAAACTGATGCATCTTGTTAAAGAGGACAAACTAATTTATAGAGAAAACTTGCTAAATCAAGATTGTTACTGACAAGGCAAAAGGTTTTTAAAGTCTTTGAACTAATGATGGGCCAGTTGAATCACAATAAAAAAGTAGGCTTGTAGCAACTTGAAAAATGAAATAGAATTGTAGCAACTCAAAAACGGACCGATTCAATTTGTTTGTGATTAAGTTTCAAAGAAGCAAACCACCTAAAGAAATTGTGTAAACCACACATATAGATTATTATAAGAAACTAAAACCTCTAAAAGCAGATAACAAAACACCAATCACAGCTATACAGTCACTTAATTAAGGGAAAATCGCCAAATCCTGAGTTGAAAAGCTCGCTGCAGAATTGCTTTTGGAACACATTTTCTTCCTAGTAAACTTTCGGTTGCTGCACAGATTTTTTTTTCCCTCAGCCAAGGGTCCATTTTCCTAGCTAAATTCACAGGCAGCTTAAGTATCATGTATATTAGACGCGTAAGAGGTTATTACAGAATTTTACCTTCCCTTTTCCTCCTAGAATTTGAAAGTTGCAGCCTGCACTTTTAGTTCCTGCTTCAGTTCTTCCTAAGCCGCACCAGTCACTCATTTTTTCCTCACTTTTGGGTCACGGTTTCCAGGTTACAAGCGGGAGAAATAAAGCTAGCAAATTTTTAATTCTCTCCCTCACTCTCTCGGTTGCAAACTGGAAGCAAGGAGGAACCAGAAATGTTTTCTTTCTTCTTCAATTTTATGTTCCAGCTAAGCATTATAATTGCTACAATCTTCAAGCCAGGCAACAGAGCCAACTAACGAGTAAAAAAAAAAATTTGCAGGACAAACCAGATTTTTTCCATTGATGAAGGAACTTAATAAAACTAGTGACGACGGTTCAAGAAGCAAGATACATATAGATCTCATTAAACCTTCAACCTAAAAGAACCCAGTTTCTGGGTCCTCGTATGGAAGCTATCAGAGTCACAAACATGAAGCAGCATACACTAAAATAAAACAGCAGCAATTCTATCAACCAGCAGTTATCTACCTGGAACACTCTCGTCAATGATTAGAAGAACGGCAGGCCGTCTGCGAGGAGAGAGCTACAGGGCCCACGTCCAGCTCCACTAAAGTAAGCAAAGACTCCCACAAAATCAAGAAACCACCAGTTGCACCGCTGCTGCACCACCTCAATCACCCTGCTCAGCCGCACCTTCAGCCCACAGTCGACAACGAGCACCGCCAACCAGTGGTCATCTACGCCGTTTCTCCAAAAGTGATCCACACCACACTTTGGAGAAGGGATTAGAGATTTAGAGTAAGGGACTAAGGGGAGAAGGAAATAGAGATGGCGGCATGGCGCAGGCAAGGCAATTGTAGAGAGAGGAACCAGGACGACCGAAGCGGCGAAGTGAAGTGCGAAGAGGAACTGAGGAAGACTGGAGCGGCGAACTAGCGAAGTGCCGAAGTGAGAAATGAAGAATGAAGATTAGGGTTCGGTCAAAATTGAAGTTTTTGTCAATTTTGACTCAAAAATTAGAAAACTGCGGTTCACGGTCCGACCCGATTTTGAAGATTTGAACGGTTTTTAACGGTTTTGACCGGTTTTTTATAAAAGTCAACATAGGTTATAGACCGGACCGGACACATGGCCGGGTCGCGGTTGAACCGGTCGACCCGGCCGGTCCGGTCCGAGTTTGAAAACATTGGTATTGGCAGGGGCAAAACGTTTTTGAAATTCAGTTTGTAAAGTATGATACGTCAAATGCATTGCGTAGTTGGCCCTTTTTTTTTCTTTTTTTTTGGCATTTCACCATTTCGGTCCTAAACTTTTTCTCTATAACCAATTTCATCCTTCATGATTTGTTTTAACCAATTTAGTCCTCAAACTAATTTTTCAGTTCCAATGTGGGACTTTTCCGGCCGCATCACCATATTTTTCACATTCCATGCGGCCAGGCAGCGGCATAACTGTCACACACGGCTAAAATTCTACAAATAACATGTTCTAGTGGAAATTGAGTTCATACTCACGAAAATATTTCCCCCAATTGATAATTCCTTGAGCTTGAGCAATTATCCAAGTGTCCCTAGAAGTCGGCCATTGAAGTGATTATAGGACAGTTGCAAATAGTTTAAGTTTAGTGTCCCTACTAAAAACGCACAACAATTTTTACACATTATATAAAAAAGAAGAGAAGATCACTGTCAAAATGTGAAAACATATTAAACTTTGAAACTTGGCTCTAATAATTATTATCATGACAATAAATTTCAAAAAAGAAAGAAAGCAAGAAAGTTTTCAGAAATGTTCAGCAAAATTTGAACCTTGTAAACGCCAATATCCAACCCATTTTCGAGGGGAATGAGTCTGAACGATGCGCTCTGCTTGGTTGAGTTTGACAAAGAAAAAGAAGATGGAAAGAGGGATTGGTGATTCAGCATCAGAATAAACCAAATTGAAAGCGGAAGTTTGTCCGACTTTGAAAAGTTGTCAGCCAAAGAAAGGCCTTTTGAGCAAAAGGAATAAGAGAAAATGGAAGGCATTGATCTGGGATTTGTGATCGAGAAGAAATCTACAACAAAATGTTCTTGAGAGTGAAGATACAATTGATGAAAAGGAAGAGAAATGATTTGCTAAATTTTGGGGGAAATTGAAATGAAATGTAGCTTTTGAATTCAAGAAGAGCAAATAGATCTATGGTGAGATTTTGAGGTGGTATAATTGCTTGGTGAAGCATAAAACAATTTGCCATCAATAAAGAAGCAAAGAGGATATGATTTTTCACTATTATGAGTAGGATATGAGCACCAAATCATCATTATGCCCTTGCTCGACCGCATAGAATGTGGAAAATGTGGTGGTGCCGCCTCAAAAGTTCTACATTGAAAGTGAAAAATTAGTTTGAGAACTAAATTGGTTAAAATAAATCATGAAGGATGAAATTAATTTAGTGAAAAAATTTGGGCATCAAAATGGTGAAATTCCCTTTTTGTAAAAAAAAATAATGTTATAAGAGTCTACACCAACTACTTTTTTTTTTGTCAAAAGATCATCAAGGTATTCGTAATGCATTACACTTAAAGAGTGTAATGCATATGTCACATCATCACTTTATTGTCCCTCTTTTGTTACACTATCTCCTTATTATCCCCTCTTTCATTATACTATCTCTTATTACAGATTATACTCTACAAAGTAGTTATATTATCTCTTTATTATCTCCTCTTCTATTAGAATATCTCTCACTAAATATTACATTCTGCAAAGTATGATAGCATGAGCCCACAATCAAATCACATATTTATTTTAATAATTCAAAATACATATCCCATAAATAAATCAATTTATTTTCTAAAGAATGATTTCATTATTTATGGAAAATAATTTATTAACTTTCATGAAATTTTTTTTTATTTTCTGGAAAAGCATATTGTGAGCTAAGCGCTTGCAAGCATCTTGTCATGATCGATACTCCATGGAACACATTTTCCATCAGTTTCTTCTATCGATTCATTGGTGAGAGTAATATTTTTGATCCCATGTTGTGTTGAATATGACAATATTTGAGAGTTTGAAATAGACTCTGCTGGTGTTGCATTTTCTTGCTCGGTGCCAAAATCAAAATCTTACCTTTTCTCATTCAATGTCTTTGGGCTTCCACAGATGGATTAAAATAACCCGGCAGCGGATACATGGGAAATGGATATGGAAAAATTGGTGGACTCGAGAAATTTGGTGGATGATTGGAATTGGGTAAATTTGAGAAATGCATATTTGCACGAATACCATAATATGGAATATTTGGGTAATTTTGGAAATTTTGATGGTTTTGATCTTGTGAAGAGAGAATTTTCTATAGTTGGAGCATTAAATATATTTCTAAAACTACTAAAATTCTTATCCATAATGAGAAATTATTGGAACTTTAGAATTGGATAAGAGGTTGGAAAAAAGCAATGATAGAGTAGAAAGTGAGAAATTGAAGAAAATGTTAACAATGTTTATAGAAAAAATTTTGAACAGTAAAAATTGAATAAATATTACCTTTGGGAATTTTACCATTCATCAATTTGGTAGATGAGGATTGACATTGAATAAATATTACTGCTGCAAAGAATTGAAATTGACACAATATTATTGTTGAAAAAATTTAATGTTTTTAAAATTATCAAATGGGACTCACAACCAGTTTTTTTGTCTTCTTGCATGTTTATTATGTGTGTAATGGCCACAATATGCATCATGGCTATTACACTCCCCTATGGAAGAGGTATATATATATATATATTTTACAGAAATATTATTGACATCAAAACTAGCTGTACAACCTTGAGCAAAGGCTCATTTTTGAGCTTCACAAATGTGTACTCAGACACTGAGGATTCTAGCATCCCTTATCTTGTCCTAACCTAGTAGCATAAGAGCTAATCATTCTACATGTATTGCCATTTTGGTGAGATGCCAAGTTAAATGAGTATTTCATAAACAATGATCTTAACATTTGGATGTCCTCCATTTGAGCAAAAAGTCTTGTGTCTTTTAACTTTTTTTTCACCTTCAGAAATTGCAGCAACTTAGAAGATGAAACTTGCACTTTCACCTTCACCCATTGTTTCTCCCTTGCTTTACACAATGCCAGTTTGATCGCTTCAGCATAATCCAACATTGTATCTCCTGTGCTTTTTTCCCTGATGGGCCAAACTACATTTGTATTGTTGGCCTTAATAGCCACTATTCTAATTCCTAATGGCCTTCCTTCATCCTGGTTGCCTACTTCCACCACTATGTTCATCAAGTTCCCTTCATCGTTGCTGTGTTGACTTTCCTCCCTAACTAATATTGTTTCCTAAATGCTCACTCACTTGTCTTTTGTCCAAGCTTCTGTAAACTCCATCCACTCTAGTTGAGCTTTCTGTACAATTTCAAAAGCGTGACAGTATCTATTATTGAACATCCTATCATTCTTAGCTTTCCACAATTGCCAAAGAATGTTGACAGTGAGTGCTTGTTGGTCAGCTCCTTCTGTCCTGCTTTTAGCTTCCATCAGACCACTCCACCATCTATTGAAGTTCCCTCTATGATCTGCTAATCCATCCCAATGCAATGGTGCCAATCTCCACACATCCTGTGCTTGACTGTAGAAAAAGAATAAATGCTCCACTGTTTCCTCTTCTTCCCTGCATATCTTGCATATTGGCTCCCTTATTCTAGTCCTATGAGTTCATTCACTGGAAGGGCCTTGTTCAAGCATTTCCACATGAAGGTCTTTAATTTGCTCTTAATGTTCAGTTTCCACATCTGCTTCCACTCCTTGCCTCTATGTCCTATGGCACTTGACTCCCAGTGGAAAAGGTATAATGGTTGGGTGTAATAAATGGTATTACATCCCACTGTGGACGCCCTTGTCATATATATTGAGTAGTGGTAACTACAATTGATATTTACATATTGCTAGCAGTGCTAGAGAATCATTGTATGCTTCTTTCATAAGTCACACAAGGAAGAATGACTTCCACCTAGCTAGTATCATCAATAACTTTAATGGTGAATTTCACCAAACCATGACTAGTTCAATTATATTCCCTCCCAATAAATATGAAGGAACATCGCCAAAAGGACCTACTTAAGTGTAGAATATCTTCTACCATGACATCTAACTAGATTCCTTTGCATCCCACATTGACTCTGTCAACTAAAATTTTACAATCAGAGTAGATTAAGATTGAAGTCCAGTGCTCCTCCAATGCCTTCATCAATGCAGTCCTTATTGCCTCAGCTTCTAGGATAGCAGCATCCTTTTTGTTTGTGGTTGGTATAGCCCATGTAGTGACAAGATTGCCATTATGATCTTTGACCACAATACCAACTCCTCCCCTATTCTTAGTCCTATCAATAGCAGTATCTGTGTATATGAGGGTGGAATGTTGATTCTAGAATTCCTTTACTATTGCATTCCCTATTGTCAATGATTCTGGCATTTCCATTTCTGAATTTTTGGTGTTCATCATTTGTTTGTACTCAAGCCATTCCTCCACCGCCTTATTAGATAACTGAGAGTCATCAAACCTTTCATTGTTGAAGCTCCATGCATTTCTAACCTTCCATAATTGCCACAGAAAATTTATTGTGATTTCAATATGGCTTATACCATCAGCTCTTTCTTTGGCTCCCTATAAGGATCCCTACCACTTCTAGAAATTCCAAGAGTGTTCCTTTAGGCCATCTCACTTAATGGGGAATGTCTTCCAAGCATTCTCTCTTGCTTTACAATGAAACAGCAAGTGTTCTAGCATTTCCACTTCCTTACCATAGCTTTTCACCATTTATGTGCACCTCTTCATTGGTAGGGAGAATATTGTGAAGACATGTCTAGAGAAAATATGTTACTTTATGTTTAATATTAAGGTCCCATACTTGATGCCAAAACTTTCAATCATCCTTCCTACTAATAGTGTTGCCAATCCTCTAGTTCTATTTGCATGTTTCCT